CGAGCATTGGCATACTTCAACCAGTACCGAAGGGTCGTCCATCGCATTCGACAGCAGCAAGCAGCGATGATGTTCTTGTGTCCAAAATCCGTTCGCCGCGGCCTTCTGATGTCGATACGGGTCGGGGCCGGCAGCTGTCGCTAAACGGCGAATCGGTACCCTCTCTGCCAACACCAGACTTTGTCAAGCGGAACAGCGAGTCTCTATCCAATTCACCCACAACCGGGAACAAGCCTTTGCCTGCCAGCCCCCATCAATACTACTACAGAGACTACTACGCAGGGGCAGGGCAGTCCAGCAGCTCTACTTCGGGGGTCACAACGGATATGACGACCAGCTCAAGGTCCGTCAATGGAACGGCACCCACGTCAACTCGACCTAGCACCGGGCGGAGCTTTGATTCCGGCCCCGTTCCGAGGCAGAGCACGGAGTCGGCGTCCCTCCATCGTCGTGACTCAAATACCACATATGGCTCTAGTCAAGTGCCTCAGGACAAGAGATTCTCGGGATTGTTCCACTCGGCTCTGCCACTACCCGACGGCCCAGAAGACAGAGATCGGTCCTCCCGTGCATCATCTCGGGAGAGAGTTCCGACACACGATGGCTACAACGTCCTCTGGCTTGCGGCATCGCTCTTCGAGTTCAACATCGCCACCACCAAACACGAGGCCGGCTATCCATACCTCGTGTACCAGGCTGGTGAGGTACGTATTTCAGATGACGAAGGGGCGATCCTACTTTTTCTTGTTCTTGTGTTTGCTAACATTCAGAGTAGATCTTCGACGTGATAGCCGAAAAGGGCGAGCTGTGGCTTGCCAAAAACCAAGACGACCCAAGCGAGCAGGTTGGTTGGATCTGGTCCAAGCACTTTGCGAAGCTTGCAGATTCATAACACTATCCACCCGCATCCAAATACGATAATAGACGGCGCCGGCACCCGGCGTACACACATACACATGAGATAACGACCTTTCATCCACGGATACATTTGACCCAGCTGTTTGTCACACAGAAATACTGTAGGGGCAAGTCTTGAGGCCGAGGAGCGGGCGTTGTTTTTTTTGCTGGTTCTGCTTCCGCATTTTCACACTATAACTATATGTTTGCTCACTCTACATTCACCATGTTGTCCGATATTTCCTTTTTTGTGAGCCATGGGACGGAATGTCATGTCAGGCTAGTCCTATAGCGATGGCATATAATACCCTGCGTTGTGGATTTCTGGAAGGGGGGGCGAGGGAAGGAAGATGGAGTATCTGAACCTTGAGACTATGTAAATGAAATAATCATCACAATCCGGGAACAAGGAGAAGGGGAAGTTTCGTACACAGGCGTTGGAACGATAAAATACCAGGTGTTTTTTTCCTTATTCAATTTTTTCTTTTTGCTTTGCTTTTTGTTCCTCTCAATTTTTGGCAACAGTTTGCTGTTATTTTTTAAGAACGGAGAGAATGAGAAGAGGGTCTCTGGACACGATTTAGTTGGACGTGATCCAGACATGGGAGGCCGGATAGTTTCATTGGCCTTTTTGTGTTTTATTTCTTCGCTTCATCCCAGATACCAACAGATTTATGTACATCACAATTGGCCAGAATTTTGAATGAGAAGAACGCAAGTGTAAATGTGAGCACCAGGCATTCTCACACGTAGCAGATTGGAAATGCCCCTTGCCGGCAGACATGGACCAATTGCGATTGGCAGCACCGCAACCATCCAAAATCTGGACGTCGCTTGTAATCGGGCTGCTTTCGCTCAATGCCTCAATCCTGTGGGCTTGTGGTCTGAGACTCAATCTGCCGAAGCCATGACACATGGGAGTAGGTACTTTGAGGGTCCAAGCGTTCCCGATGGCGCAACGTCTTGCTCCAGGTACCACGCAGGTACCCAGCAGCGACTGGCATGGACCCCTAGATGCTAGCGGGAAGGTCAGCTGTCAGCGGCTGTGGGCTGAAGCAGGTGCGCTTTCCCGAAATGCTTCCTCCCGTCCCTCGTACTTGCCGAGCATCGCTGTACGAAGGCAAGGCAGGAGGCTATTTGCGGCTGCCGCTAGTCGTAATAATTAAAGCGATTCCCAACAATTGCACAGCCATGGCCCGCCTCTCTTATCGCCCCCGATAATTCGCAGCTCCAGACTGCACCGCTCTCGAGAATCCGTCTCGGAGTGTTGCTATCAAAGTGATCCTTCGTATAAATACTAATACATGCCCAGCCCCCAAACCCCTAAAGTCCTATTTATGACCCCGGGACGGAAATGGGCCCTTCCCCCATGGGCCACCACGACCCACCGCCGCCGTCTGGACCGCGCGAATCCACGCCGCGCAGCAGTTTAGCGTGCGATTCTCCAGCCCCAAGCTCCCAGGAGCTCGCCATCGACACTCAACGCCCTCCGCCCAGAGCCCCCCGATTCTTCTGGCCCTTCAGCCCTTCATCGCAATCGCAGCTCAAGTACGGCGGCTTCCCTGTTTCGCTCCCGGGTACCGTGGATGGGGGCACCGACGCGCACCCGCACTGGCCCCGAGATTCGACAGATGATCAGCGCTTCCGCCCCAGCGAACGAGTCGAGGTAGACATCAGACGGGAGAAGATGGCGAGCTGGTCGGGGCAGCCGTCCATCCGGGGCAACTCGGAGACGACGCGCATGGTCCTCCTGACATTCAGTGCCATTGGCGTAGCGTGCGTATTCCATTCTTCTAATCAGGGAGGCTTTGCGCGAACTGACCAAGTTAACTCGATATAGATTCACGTGGGGCATGGAAATGACATGTGCGTGTGCCCGGGCTCCTTCCACACCTGGCCAACCCTGAGGATGTGCAGCGCTAATCTCTATCCTTCTTTGACAGACTGCACGCCCTACCTGCTCAACCTTGGTCTTACGAAGAGCAACACCTCGTTGGTATGGATCGCAGGGCCGTTGTCCGGGCTCATCGTCCAGCCCGTGGTCGGCGTCATTTCGGACGAGAGCAAATCGAGATGGGGCCGGAGACGGCCTCTGATAGTTATCGGCACGATCATCGTGGCCCTAAGCCTGCTGGTTCTAGGGTTCACAAAGGAGATCGTTGGATTGTTTCAGAAGGATGAGGAGAAAGCCCGTCGCCCGACCATTGTTCTGGCCGTCTTGGCCATCTATGTCGTCGACTTTGCCATTAATTCAGGTGGGTAAAGATCCCTTGGCTAGCCTATATCGATCGCATTGCTGACTAGGGCGTGTACAGTCATGTCGTGTTCGAGGAGCCTGGTTGTTGATACACTTCCTATTGAGAAGCAGCAAACCGGCGCCGCTTGGTGTAAGTCCGCCGTGTGCAGCTCTTTATGCTCCTGAATCGCGAGAAAATGTACTAATCAGTCACAGTCAGTCGAATGTCCTCGGTTGGCAGTTTAATCGGATATGCGGCTGGGGCCGTGGACATGGTCAAGGTCTTTGGCACCACATTTGGTGATACCCAGTTCAAGCAACTCACCATAATGGCTGTGTTCGCGATTACTACGACAAATGCCCTGACCTGTTGGGCTGTTACCGAGAGGGTCCTGGTCTCGCCCAAGGCAGATGCCAACAACGAAGGCCACCTGAAAGTGTTCAAGCAAATATGGAACACAATATCTAACCTTCCTCCGCGAATCAAGGCTATCTGCTGGGCTCAGTTCTGGTCTTGGATTGGATGGTTCCCCTTCCTCTTCTATAGCACCACTTGGGTTGGCGAGACTTACTTCCGATATGATGCCCCCAAGGACGCCAAATCATCCACCGACGCGCTTGGCGACATGGGCCGCATTGGCAGCACGGCACTCGTCATTTACTCGGCCATAACATTCGCCGGTGCTTTCATTCTCCCGTTCTTCGTGGAGTCGCCCGAAGACCAAACTTTTACGCGCCGTCCGCCAAAGTATATGGCTGGCTTCTTGGTGAAGATGGAGAAGATGAAACCGAACCTTCTAACGGCCTGGATATGCGGACACCTCATGTTCTCCTGCGCCATGTCATTAGCACCATTTGCCACAAGCTTCCGTTTCGCAACTCTACTCGTTTGCTTGTGTGGTTTGTAAGTTGTTCCCTTCGGATATATCTATGGTTAGAGAGGAAGCGCTGACTTGCCCATCTCTGAAACAGACCTTGGACTCTTGCGTCGTGGGCACCCAGCGCATTTCTAGGCGTAGAAGTCAACAGACTCGGTGGCACTACTACGACTGAGAATGGGACAGGTCACTACCGACGTCTATCCGATGCCTCTGATATCGAGATGCCTTCTCTCGCCTCCAGTGGGGGCGCATTGCACCTTGAGCACGACCCTGAGCCTGAGGACGGTGGCACCCATGCTTCAACAGGAGAATTGTCCGGTGTCTACTTTGGCATTCTGAACATATTCACAACTCTGCCCCAGTTTGTCGGCACATTCATATCGATGATCGTCTTTTCGATCTTAGAACCGGGCAAAAGCCCAGAGTTGGCAAACCCCGATGAAGAAGTACCCAGCGCGACAGGCCCCAACGCAATCTCCATCTGCTTGTTTATCGGTGCGATGAGCACTCTGTACGCAGCATACGCAACCCGAAAGCTGAAATACTTGTAAAAATATGTTGAAATGTCCCGGCAGCTGTATAGAGAGGTTCAGGGAAATGCCATGGTTTCATGTCTTGTCATTATCAGTTTAGATATAAGTTGGGAACAGGAACTTTCGGGTTAGAAGGGCCGGTGTTATGGGAAAGGAAAGGGAAGCGGCGCTTGTTGGAATGGGCTGGGAAACATCTCTCTGGATGATCAGAGTCTGTCGATTGATCTATGAATCTAAATGAAAATCCACCACGCACTCAATACACACTGACTCTAGCCATCCAGTGCACATGCTGTGAAGGAAAAGCGATTTATAACATGACTCGTGAGAATGTTCAGGGGGTCTGTTTTATGTCTCCTTGACTTCATCAACCCATCCGACTGCGCACACCCTCCAGAGACCTGGAGGGGAAGCTTGCGGTATATACCTGCAGTTGCCAAGCCAGGATATCACTTATTTGTCCTTCTCCTTCTCGCTCTCCGAAACCTTCTCCCACTCATCCTCCGTGCTCGCACTGGACTGGGTGCCGGCCGGCGTATCCTCGCCGCGCTTCTTCAACTCCCCCTCGGGAGCCACAACCTCGACCACGGAGGAGACAGCATCGGCGGACGCGGGGATCCTGCCCGTGTCCACCTCGACTTCCGTGTCACTCTCCCCCGTGTCCAGCTCCCCCCTCCTCCTCTTCTCCTTGTCCTTGTCGGCGCCGCTTGTACCCTCCCTCTCCTCCTTGGCGCGCTCGGCCTCCTGGACGGCCTTGAGCTCGGCGGCGAACCAGTTGACGGACCACCAGAGCCCCGCGCACAGGACGGACAGGACGACGCAGTGGATGGAGTAGGTGGCCGCGAGCAGGAGGGCCAGCACGAGCTGGAGGCAGGCGAAGGTGACGTTGGTGGCACGGAGGATGGTGGGCGTGGGGCCCGGGGTGAAGATGGACTCCCAAAGCTCGACGAAGAAGGCGGACATGGTGGGCGGGTTTTGTATTTTTCTTGTTCTGGTGTGGTGGTGGTGGGGGATTCTTGGGTTGTTTGAGCTCGGTGGTGTTGGTGAATGATGACTTTCAGATCGGCGATTCTGATATTATGGAAGATGTGGCAGTTGTGCGGTAATGTAACAACCTTTGTGTAGGAGATTCGTTTTCTGTATTATGTAACGACCGGAATTATTCGTGGGTATATTTTCTCAGTGAAGACCCGTACTGCAGTTGTATATACAGTTTTGGTCGTATACAGCTGGGGGCCCGTGATGCACAGATGAAAAAGCGCAGGGTTATGTTTCTCAAAAGCTTCACCCCGCAATCACGCCGGGACAATCAGCCAGTCACTGATTTTGTTGGGTTTGTTGTCCTCTTTCGCCCCGTCTCGATTGGGAGTTGCTGCCTGGGCGAAGCTATCCCCTCCTAGCTATTTGATGGGAACGGGGCTGGCTTTTCGCAAACGGAAACGGACAACGAGCTAGTTTGGTCGCCGGACGGAGACAAGACAACAAGCTTTCTGCCAAAGGTTCAAGCAGGAAAAAGGACAGGTATTCGGAGGAGAGTGACACCGTGTTCGATGCAGCGGCAGGTATGCGCCCGGCCGTGGACGATAGGGGGCTTGTCTCGGGGGATCTGAACTGCGCAACGGGGGTTGCTGCCTTGGAGGTTGAGCTGAGCTTCAGTGACGCAAATCCGCGACTCCATCTCCATCTCGTGCGATGTGGGGTGGGGTGACTGGTCCAAGTCATCATGCTACCCTAGACTCACGCTCATCGTCGCATCGCAGGTTCAGCTTGCAACCAAACAATGTAAGATGCTCCGTTTTGGCGTCAGCAGATGATGTGTTGTTGGCTTGATTGACTTGCGTGGTATCTTATGTTTGACTTTACGTACATCGGTCTTTATTTTTGGCACCTCGCGCTGCATGGCAGGATATAGTATGCTTCTTCACATTCGCAAAGTTGCATTAGCAGACACAACTTACTGGACGCATACACCAACCCACTCCCGAAGTTCCCAGTAGTCAAGCCAGTCTTATTCGCATGAGCTAGCAACCACCAAAGGGTTCTACCGTCATTCTAGAGCTCCCGCGTGATTCGCAAAAAACAAAGTTCTTTTTTTCTAGATTGGTTCCCCAAGAGCTGACTGCCTTCATTACTCGACGTCCCACTCCACTCCAAGCGCGTCTAACATCAGCATGCATGCAAGTTACTAACGCCGACCGAAAGATCTCGGCAAGGCTGCGGACTGGTTTCTCCTTTGCCCCAGGAGCTTTCGGAACGGACGGGTGTGTGCGTGTGTGTGTTGATCACTTGACAAAGGGCAGAGTGGTTCACATGCAGGCTTATATTGGACACGCCGTGTACAAAGTAAAATGTTCCCCCCATGCGCCGCAGGGCCAACGAAAGAGAGAGCACAGAGACAAAAAGCGACGCCACTTGGGTCAGATACACGCAAGCGCTGACTGGCCAGACCGGCCCAGAAAGGCAGAAAGGGCAAAACACGAACGCCGGATTGGGGAGCCATATCACATCCCGTGGACGAGGCGGCTGCTCATTGGCGACACCAGATGCGAGCGAGAGAGAGACATCAACTGACGAGAGGTGCAGATCACTCACGCAGCCGTGCTTAGTGTACCTGGGGCGATATGCACCCTGAGTGAGTGACGCCGCAGATTCGCACTGCGAGCTGCAAGCGCACCGAGGTCGCCGTGTGTCGCAGAGTACCTTACCATCCATAGTGTTGCAATGGGAATTTCTGGTTGAGCCGTCGCTGTCCTTGCTACATACAGAGGTCCAGGCGAACCAGCGAATCAGAACAACGTCGCCTCCGAGCACAACCATGCCCAAGCATGCCAATCCGATGAGTGCTAGTGGTCGGGTAACGTCTCGTTCCCGGGAGGCAGAGCATATCCCCGGCCACTAGGGAGGACATCCGTGATGGCGACAGCCGTGCTTGAGAGGCAGAGACAGAGACAGAGAGGCACAGGGCGCAGACACGGACAGGCACAGGGCCCAGGCACAGGCACAGGCACAGGCCCCCCACAGGGTTATTATGGCCAGGCAGGCAGGCAGGCAGCTGGGCCCTCTCGAGGCGGGTTGCATGAAAAGGGCCTTGATCTCGGCATGGCGTGACACGATTGGTGCGGGCCGGCAGAACATCTCGAGAAGTGAGTGCAGCGCAGTGCAACAAACGACCACCCACGCCCGGGAATCCCTGGACGCATTCCCAAAGGACGATAGTTTTCGAGGACCAGCTGCAGGTTGTAGGGTGCAAAGTGCCCGCACGGGCCGCACCCTGCTTTCGAGTCGGAAGACAGGACAAGACGGTCAGGTCTTTTCTGGCATTGGCCCTCACACACGCCCCTCCATCTACAGTAATATGACAGGTAGTAATCGTAATTAAAAGAGAGGCCGAGCGATACAGAGACGGTCAAAAGAGGCACAGCAGCCCAAACCACCTCATGGTTTCCCTCTTAGCGTAGTTGTACGAGACAAAACAGCATGCGCACCAAGCACATTCACACCAGATGCGTCGCATTTAGCCTTCTCCCTCTTGGCCACGGCCATTCACCGTACCACTGGGAATGGATCCGATGTGGCCTTGGGAGGGGGATCTTCTGCGAGATGGCCAAGCGCGTGTCGCTTAGCAGCCTCGTGGTATACTCGTGTCAAAGCCGACCGTGCCCGGGTGTTATCTTGTCCACCATGCAGCCTGCACACCTACCTACCTACCTGAGGTAGAGCGATTGATATCCAGAGCCAGGCCCTTCATGCACGAAGCTGGTGGAAATGCGCTCAAGCTTAAAGTCCGCCCATTGTTGCGAACTGGCCTTGCAACTCCACGATCACCCCCTCCCCATCTCCACCAAGTCCGGGTCGCCCGACCAGCGCAGAACATTCTTTTGACAAAAATGCCCATCCTCGATTTTGGAAGGTGTTCTGAGGCGGCTTCTTCCTTATACCCCCTTTCTCGTAACTTGGCTGCGAGGCAGAGGCGTTCACGGGCCACCTTCATTTCCAAACGGCTCCGAGCGGGATAGTCACAGCAACACAAAACAGAGAGGGAGGTCCCACATCTGCAGGTCCCTGATGCAAGAGGCGAAGATGCAAATTCCCGTCCCCGAATTTCTCGGAGTGTGCGCAACGTGTGGTGTGGCCAGCGGAACCTTCCACCGCAGCCATGCTGACCCTCCCCATCACATCTCCACGATGGCAAATTCGCCCTCTGCTCCTGGACCTTGGCCGGTGAGCCGGGGGGCAAGCACGCTGTAGATGTGCAGTGAATGTGGAGAAGAGAGGGTGAATCGTGGTGAGCATTGGGTTGACCTGAAACCCCAGTTGTTTTCTCTTGATCGATGGCACGCTATGAGTTTGTACGTCTTAACACAAAAGAGAGTCGTACCATCTTTGCTGGGGAGAGAGAGATTTGCGCCCACAGTGTAAATGCCCTTGCCCCAGTCGCTATTGATCGTGCAGCAACTGACAGGCTCTGGAGGATCTGGAAATAACAGACTCAGAAAACACTGCTTCTCCCGTTGTGGTTAACCGCTGGCTCGGTTGATTGTCTTAGCAGCTTCCTTTGATGTAGAGAGTAATTTCCCTTGGATTTTGAGTTGCATTTTTGGGCATCAATGGCATATCCCTCTTGATTCTCAAAAAGCGGCCGATCCAAGCGAGGCCCTTTGGTCTAGGGGAATTGGAAATAAGCCTCCAAGCACCCGGGATAACCCTACTACGAGCTCTGAGCACAGACATTCAAGTCGCATTTTCCCGTGACCGTGTCCTTGGGATCCATCAGGCCAAGAGAAACGTGGGCAGCATTTGGTACGATTTGGGGTACAGTTGGAAGGGAAGAGCTTGCAGCAAGTCGTGAGCAAGGTAGCAGTCCGCGCTGCTACATTGCTTCGTATCCAGCTACAAATGGAGGTAAGCTCAGTACAGTACTTGTCTCTCGCCGCTTGAAATGGGGATGGACGCCAGACCCATACTTTGCGGGCACTGGACTCAACGTCCATGCTTCAAAGCCTACATAATACAGTCTCTTATAGTCGGGTTGTTAGTGAGTTTTCACCCGCCTCGGGTTACTCTTTTCCTCTCGGTGGTTAGATGCAGTAATTAGTCGCTTTAACCTCACAAGTCATGTTACAGTGGGGGACACTGCACACCTGACAAGGCTCTCGGGAATATTCGATCCACGTCCCATCTTCAATAGCGGTGGAGAGCTTGGCTCTGGTGCAGCGCGGCCTTCGGTGTAAAGCAGACGGCCTACAACAATCAGAGTGCCGGGCTCTCTGGCATAGAGCATGTGATTGCACTGCGATGCTTTGTAAGATCGGCAAATGCGAGATTGTCAACATGTTCCAGTAGGCGAGAAGCTGCAGCTGGCTGCCCAAAGAGGACATTCAGTTGCTGGGGACTGGGGAGCGGTAACCTCCGGACTTTTTGTAGGCGACGGGACCGCCGTCTCTCCTCGCCCTCGTGGTGGCAAAACGAAGTCCGCGAGGAGGAGAACGGAGCCGGAGAAAGCCGCGCTAAGGCAGGACCTCTTGCCAGGTCGCAAATCGTCCACTTAGAGAGCTACTCTGCGCGAGCGCCCGCCCGCCCCTAAAGCACACGAACTTTTTGGCTCTTGCTTCGTGCGGGCTGGCCCATAAACTCATAATTAAACGTCCCATTCCTTAGAGATTCAACAGATCGATCAAGGGGGCCAACTCACACGTGAGTGCCCCGAGCGCCCGGCAAGTGGTGCTGCGCAATGCCGGGGTTCCTGGGACTTGGACAACCTCGACGACTGGTGATGGAGGGGAAAAGGAGAATTTCCAGTGCACGGCCTCGTGGTACGCTGGGGAGCACTGGCAGTCAGCCAAGCACACCCCTGCCTGCCTTGACCTCTGCGAACCTGGAACCCCCCCAGCCTGGAGTGCGTGGTGGCCTTCACCTTGATGGCACATCACCGGCAGTAGCATTGAGGAGTGGGATCCCGGTGG